TGGTGTGAAGCTCGCATGATGAGTGGTGTGAAGCATGCAGGCTTGCAGGCCGCGTGGTGTGAAGCAAAGTCGGCCTGCAGGAAGCGTGGTGTGAAGCTCGCAGGACGTGTGGTGTGAAGCATGTAGGCTTGCAGGACATGTGGTGTGAAGGTCGCAGGACATGTGGTGTGAAGCTCGCAGGATGTGTGGTGTGAAGCAAAATCGGCTTACAGGACGTGTGGTGTGAAGCTCGCAGGACGTGTGGTGTGAAGCATGTAGGCTTGCAGGGCGAGTGGTGTGAAACAAAATCGGCTTCCAGGTCGAGTGGTGTGAATCTGGCAGGACGAGGGGTGTGAATCATGCAGGCTTGCAGAATGTGTGGTGTGAAGCGTGTTGGCTTCCAGGACGTGTGGTGTGAAGCTCGTAGGATGAGTGGTGTGAAGCTTGTGGGCTTGCAGGACATGTGGTGTGAAGCAAAATCAGTGTCCTGGAATTGTGGTGTGAAGCGTGCAGGCTTGCTGGGCGTGTGGTGTGCAGCCAAATCGGCTTCCAGGCCGTGTGGTGTGAAGCTCGCAGGGTGAGTGGTGTGAAGCATGCAGGCTTGCAGGACGCGTGGTGTGAATCTCGCAAGACGTGCGGCAGGAGGCGAAGAAGGATTGCAGCCGTTTCTGGACGCGATTTGTTGCACATTGCCCAGGACAAGGGGTAGGGCTAGGGTGGTACAGGGGTACAGACAGGGATCCGTGTCCCCTGTCATTCAGCCCACCACCCGCTTCTTTACTTCACACCATCAACTTTCACCCCGCGATTCTCCACACCATCGCACCGGACATCCATGTTGACGCTTGCCTTCAACGCTGACAACCTCGTCTGAGTGCCGACAATGGCTCTTCTGAGTCGGCGGGAGTCAATCCGCAACTTGGCCGTGCACTCTTCCATCGTAGAAGCCCGCAGCAGTGTGTCGAGGAGCCGAAACTTGCGTCACATGAGAATTGGGTAGAAACGGCGGCGGAAGGGTCTAGGAACGACCCCCCGAACCCTCTATGTCCAGTCTGTTCTCATCTTCTCCCGTCGCGCACCTCCACTGTGCTTCGCTCTCAGTCTGCGAAGAAGCAGCGTCGAACAGTAAGTAATTGGCCAGTCACGAGAGCATCTACCACCGACACTTGTTGTTCGCATCGTCCTGCATCAAGACATTGCGATCTGTCCGATACCGTCACATTCTGAACAAAGCGCCATCCGAATTGTGCCCTTCATCGATCCTTTAAACCCCGGCGCAGTATTGCACGCAGAATGCCGACCAATCTGTTGATTGAAGTGTTAAGGTTGCCATTCGCCCTGACTTTTAACGTATGGCATTTAGCCGAAGCCTCACTGACGGTTCGTACTTAGCTAGGGAGAGCACCATCCACAACCTCCACATACCCTCGTGAGCTTGCGTGGACGGCCGGTCACGATTGAACCACCGAGCGACGATGACTTACAAAGGCTACCCAGGGAGAGCTTGCCGCAACCTTGCCTTCGACTCGTGAGGCAACTACACCACCACGCCGACGTGCCGTATGCTGCGGCTCGCCGCTGCCCCTATAAAGAACAGTACGTTGTTCCCTTGAAACTAGGACGAAGAGCCCGAACTTCCTAGCCGCGCTGCATCAATTCAATAGCACCGTATTTGCCCTTTGAAGTTCTACTTCAGTATTCTGGTGGACAAACTTCGTTGCGGCGGCCTGCACTCATCTCATCTCTGAGCGGCGACCAATGGAGTCAAAGTTCAAATCAGAGTTCAAAGTTCCAACCTCTATCACGTGACTCCCGAAACCACATCTTAGCACACCATGGTGCTCGTCGGACGGGCTCATGTTATAGCACTGAAGCGTGTTCGTTGGGCTGCCTTGTTCTGCCTTGTTATGTCACCGCACTGCGGACATTCCAATTATTTTCTGGGCCAAGTTCCAAAGGTAACATCTGCGACAATGCAGTCTTCCTGAATGCCGTTTCGTCCTGTGCTGCGGATTACATTAAGCCACGGACGATGCACAGGAGTCCTGTGGCACTTTGACGTGGGCCGGGCTGCGAGCGAGCAATTTGCACGCTATGACCTTTGGTGAGCCATCGTACCTTCTTGAACTTCGACAGGGCGACGCAGTCACGTTATGAATGCTAACTACGGGATGGAAGGCATGAAGATCGAACTACAGAGCACCATGATAGGAACAAGTTCGGGTAATCCGGCGCTGCCTCCATGCCAATTCCTCGGCCGCATGCGAAGCGAGCTTCTAGAAACTCAATTGCCAGACACTACAAGTTTTTGGGTCCCTGTCCCAGTAGAAACGGGGCATTGAATGGACTGTCGCCGTAGCTTTTTTCCGACTCCACCGCGGTGTGACCGATGTTGGGTCGTACCCATAGGCACATGACCAGACCAGTTTACTTAAGAGGAGGATTAGAAGGCCTGAGGCCCGGATGAGGGTATCTTCGTGGAGGGTATCGGTAGGTGCGAAGCATGCTCAAATGAGTTGTCTTGTTACAGTACTGTCCTGCCAGGCGATCAGAGTAGAAGTCTAGCTGCGGCGCAATGCCCGCCTTCCGTTGCCAGGTCTGCTGCTGTTGATCCATCTGCTGTTCGTAGGCCGGGGTCGGCACCTCTCTCTTGCAGAAGTTGCACAACACTTACGTGCCCATTGCATGCTGCCCAGTGCAACGGTGTCCAACATTCCAGTCCACTCGTTGCATTGGGGTTCGCTCCACTGTCGAGTAGGAAAAGCACCGTGTCGATGTGCCCCTCCTCCGAGGCGAGGGACAACGCTGTCGTCCCATCCGGCGGCGCCAGGTCTGGTTGAAATCCTCCTTCACAGACGAGGTACCGCACGACACTTAGCTCCCCCTCGTTTGCCGCCCAATGCAAAGGTGTCCAATCCTGAGGATGGCTTTTGCCGCTCTCGCCTGCGCCGATGTCGAGGATAAAACGGACGGCATCCAAAGCCCCGTATTCTGCCGCTATGGATAATGGTGTTGAACCCTCCAGCGTCAGGCAGTCGAAATCAGCTCCCATTTTGAACAGAAGCCGCAAAACCTCGACCTGTTCGTGGCACGCCGCAGTGTGAGCTGGCGACCAACCTCCATTGTTCGTAACATGAATGTTTGTGCCTGCTCGTAATAAGCGCCGCACGATGTTCGCTTGCCCATGTCGTGCGGCAAGATGCAAAGCTGTCGAGCCATCGGAGGTGGTGGCTTCTAGAGCGGCACCAAACGTCAGCAACACTAGCTAAAAACAAAATCCGGTTGCGGCGCGCCTTTTACTCAACGGCGAGGGACAATCCTGGTGGAGACGGACTTCTTGAAACTCGCGGTTTCGCGGAAACGATGTGGATTGAGGAAGTATATTGCGGCACAAGACCTTTGCAGGATTGAGCTTCTTGCTTAACATTTGGCGATCGGGATTACGGGCACAATGAAGCGCGAAACGACGACTTGAGGGCCCAAATGGAGCATATTTTCTCTCGACTACGACGGTTCGCCCTGGCCTCCATTACAGCCTTCTCCGACCCTTGTTCCGCGGCCAAGCACAGCCACCCCTGTACCGATCGCAGTGAATGCCTCATTTGGCACGAGAGCCATGGCGTTATTGTAGCAGTCATTTTCAGGATCCACCAGAACAAGGCCGTCTTCTGTGGTTGCCCTGATCACATTCGCACATGAACACAATCCCCGCGATTTTGCTCGTTTTCAGATCTTGATAGTACTGGGGGCGCTGCGACGGCAGGCCGCACCCTGGAATTCTGATCGTGCCTCCCTCCGAAGAGTTAGGGTGCCGGTAGGACGCAAGAGGCGAAAGGGTGTTTGGGTGGCCTGTAAAATTACCCCGCACAACCAAGCTGCTAACAGGTCGGTGAAGCGAAGAATTTTACAGGGGAGAGTTGCCCATTCAACATATTGTCGGAATAGGTGATCATGTCAGACCGGCGATGGCACTTGTGAAGGCAAATGTGAATGTTTCGTCATCAAGACTGAAGTTATTATTGGTCTCTTCTTCAGATCCTCGAGATTCTTGAGGATTGTGTAGTTATCCTCATCTTTTCGCTTGTTTTGTGCGTTGATGTGCAGCAAATGGCGGTGTGTGCGATATCCTTCACCATATTGCATAGGCCTCCATAAGCCTGTAGCCGTCAGGTTCGGCACACACCCAAGTACCCTCCAGGCACCCCTTTCCACCACTCTAACAGATCACAATGTGTGCAAATTCGGGTGTGTGCTTATGTGTCAGATGTACGGTGTGGATACAAGCACTGTTAGATCCGCGACGGGAATTATGAACGCGCACACAACATTAATGAAGGCATTCAGATCATCTTCGTCATCAAGACTGGGGTTATTATTGGTGTCCTCTTTAGTTGCTTGAGGATTGTGTATCTTTCCTCCTCGGGGTCTGTTTTGTGCGGAAATGGCGGTCTGGCCAGCATGATCCCGCATATTGCATATGCACCGCGCGACGATGCTGTCCATACGTGCACCCCAAGCATTTTCATCAGGCCACTCCTTTCCTTCGTTTTCAACAAGCACAAAAGGCGTCATCGTCTAAAGATGAGGTGTATGAGCAGTTGCTCGAGTGTATTGATCGTGATCTTCATTTCTCCATCTCTGCCCATTTCTCGCGGCCATTTTGCTCGTGTGGACAAGTGAGACATGCAGCTCGCTTCACGCCCCCAGCATGCACTTATGCAGTTATCCGGTGCAACTGTAGTTGTGCAAGTCCAGTAGTGCAACAGCTTATTGTGTGTCTGTGTGAGCCACACTGCCTGTCCATGTACTTCCAGCTCATGCAATCACCTGAATCCATATCCTTGTACCGGGTTCACCCCCTTTGTGCAACCTCACTCCCTGACACATATCGGTACCACCTACCGCTTTTCACACCGCCTACACCGGGGTATAGTTTTGATACACCGACAAAACAGGCTTCTGCGAGCTCCTCGCGCTCTGTTTCGAGTCCACAGCTGATCTGATAGAGCGAAAGTACGCCGAGAGCCTGAATATCGGGAAGACGGCTAGGCGATCGGCCATCCACTAAATCACCGCCCCAGCGACGTCGAAATACCGCTTGCTTTCGGAACGGCTGTCGTGCGGGGTCCCAGTCGGGGTCTGCTTATAGGTCCTTTTGAGAATATCATCAATAGAGATCAAGCATCGCTGTTTATTGGTTCTATGTCCTAGTGCATCCTCCGTCTAAGGGTATGCTGTCCCGTACGGCTGCAGCTTGATGCCTTCTATGTCGATGAACCCGTACTTGGACCCATCCTTGTTGCTCGCCATTCCTTGCCACCACTTCTGCAGCGATTCCAAGAAAATGTGCTTGTGGTCATCTCGGCTTAGGTCCAGAGGCTGCTTGTCTTTGCCAACGGTGCGCATCCTGCGTTCAAGCTGTCAATATCGATCTATGCAAATCGTGAGAGACGGGCACTCACTGTGTCCCCGCCGCGACATTGGTCAGCCCAAAGTCTTCCTCGTCGAGCAGATAATGTTTCGCCCCGTTCGCGTCGCCGCTCAAGATCTTCTTGGGCAGATCAAACTCCTGACAGGCCGGCCGGCCGAGGCCGACGCCCTGAACCGTCTCCAGAGCCTTGACCATGCCCTCGGTCGAGCGCAGCCCGCCCGTGACGTACGCCTTGGTCTTCTTCAGCTCCGGCAGGATCAGGTCCGCGAACTCGAGGAAGAAGGCCTCGCGCTTGCGCGTCGAGTGCCGCTTGTGCATAAACGCCAGCGACTGGTACGTGCCGCCCGAAAGTTCGACGTAGTCGAACCTATGCTGCTCCAGCGCCCCGCACAGCGTGCGGCAGTCCTCGGTCGAGAAGCCGCCCTCCTGGAACTCAACGCTGTTGACCTTGATGCCGATGCTGAAGGAATTATCCGGGACGCGCTCGCGGATGGCTTCGCTGATTTCGAAAATGATGCGCGCGCGATTGAGCACCGAGCCGCCGTACTGATCAGTCCGCTTGTTTGTCGACGGGGCGAGGAACTGCGCGAGCAAATAGCCGCTGTCAATGTTAGTACCGATCACAGTCAGTCGCCACGTAGGGCACAGAACGTGGTACTTACTGCGCGGCGTGGAGCTGGATGCCGTCGTAGCCTGCCTTGTACAAGAACTCGGCTGCGTGCGCGAAACCGCCGATGACCTCCTCAAAGTCCTTCTTCTCCATGGGCCGGGGCTTGGCGAAGCGCATGCCCATCACCTCGCCCTCGAGCTGCACGTCGCTTGCCGAGATGGGAGTCTGCTGGATATCCTGGGAGACCTGGCGGCCCGGGTGGCTCACCTGCGCGACAATGAGGCTGCCGTTCTTCTTCGCGGCGGTCGCGAGGTCCTTGAAGGCGTCGAAGCGCTCGCCGGAAAAGGGAGCGTCGCGCGGGACGATGGGGTTGCCCGCGGCCTCGAGCTGGTCGTAGGCTATCATGATGTTGCCCGTGAGGATGAGGCCCCAGTCGCCCTCGCCCCAGCGGCGGTAGACATTGACGAGGTCCTGGGAGGGCACGCCGCGGCTGGGCAGGTCGCGCGGGTCCCAGGACGAGAGGCGCTCCGTCATGGCGGCCTTGAGGAAGCGGTTCTTCGCCGTCTTGCTGCTGAATGCGAATTGCAGCGGCTGCCCAAGGGGCGCTGCGTCGATTTTGGAGCTGTCAGTTCGCGAACCCATTGTGACGGAATGCGATGTGCCATGTATGTATGGGGCTATGGCAGTAGTTGGCGGCCTCGGCCGCAGAGGACTTACTGCGCTTATATACGGACCTGGCCGCATGATCGGCCAGACAGCGATGACTCAAACTACAGGCGAAAATTCGCAATGCATCGGGACTTTGAACTCCGCAAGGCACGGCAGATCCGTTTCGCAACGATGAAGCGCCAGTCAGTGCTGTATCATCAAATCGTGGCGTCATGGCGGTGGAGCGCGGCTTCGGAAGCTGGCGGGGTGGCCCAGGAAGCATGAAATAGGCTCCACCAATGGGGCCTCTGAGGACGCGGGAGCCAGCGCCGCGGAGTTTGTCTAATGCTGGGAAATGCATCCCGAGGTACAAGCGTCGTCCTATGATGTGACTTGGGGGGTTGGCGCGGTTGCGTCGTATCGCAGGCAGGCCCGCGCAAAGCGACGACGGCAGCGTGGTGCTCGCTGCATGCGAGGCGGCTGCGATGCGATCTCCTGTTTCGGGTTGGGCGTACTGGCCCCGGGCCGCATGCTGCCCTGTCCGTTTGACAGTCGCGGCCAGGGCCAGGTCAGCAGCGCCCATCGCGGCTTGGGGGTCGGTGCCTATCCAAGGCCGCCACCCTGGCCGCTCGGGGGTCGGTGCACATCCAAAGCCGCCACCCCGGGCCCTGGCCCACTTTTTCTGCCGAAGGGGGCCGGACTGCCGACGTGGGAGCCGCCGCGACTGATACACTGGCGCCCGGGCGCCAATTGGAACCAGCACTTACATCTTAACAATCCGCAGTATGGAGATGATGGCCAGAACAAGACACCATTGCAACTCAGACGCGAAATCAAACAGTGTAGTTGCGAGATACAGTACCACTCCCAGTTGTTTGTCTCTCGCTCGAGCTAGCTCGTCGCGACACGCTGTAGCCGCGCAAGCACCCTCTAATGATATTTAGCTCGCCGGCGTCACTATTCCATAGCAATGCGCCAATGCAGACGTATGCATCTATCTAGCTAAACAACACCGCAATAAAATGGCGTACAAACACATGGGATTATGCCACGACCCAGTTTACTTTTGTGCTTGGCACCGTGTCCATCCTGCTCTGGGTCCAGAAGATGCCAACCTTGCACAGATGTCTCTTGATCCCTGGCGTGGGGAGCCGTATTTTGGCTGTCTGGAGCAGCAAACCAAACTGCAGTCCAAAGTCATCGGACATGACCACAGCATAGTAAACAGATTTCTTCCCAGCCAATTCCCGAAGCTTGGAGCGCAGGTCCGCGTCGGGATCCTTCTTGAGCATCATCCTACCCCTCTCCCTTCCCTCCTCCCTCTCTCTGCCTATTGTCGTGACGAGAGCCTTGATGGGATCCTCCTCGTTCTTCAGAGGGTCCTCGGACGAAGCCAAGATGCCGGCATACCGAATTCGCACGCCAGCGTTTCCCTGAATCACCCAGCCGGCCACTGCCTCGTGGTCCCTCCTCCTCAGCTGGGACACTGGAGCGGCCGCATACACCGAGGAGACCCACCCGTGGTTCTTGGTGAAGGGCATCATGCTGCCGACTTGATAGTCGCCGAACCCAGTCAAGGTGTCAAACCTCTCCATGCGATAGGCGTTGACGTCCGTCAGGGCCGAGTAGAAGGACGACCCAAACTTGCTGGCGGCTTCGCGAATGAACGAGAGTGGATACGTCTCGAGCACGAGCACGTCGTCGTCATGTCCCGTACTACTGACCTTGCCGTCCTTGTCCGGCTTGCGCTCCTTGTACCAGTCCACAACATCAAGAGCCGACATGATGGCCACTGCGCGGGACCGCTTACATACACGGAGGTTGGCGTTGATCATGACGTCGATGGGGGTTAGTTGGCTGAGGACCCAGCCGAGCTGAGTCTTATACGACAGTCGGCTGAGTGCCAGGCAAGCATCTGGGGTTTGACGTCCAGACGTGGCACCCATGCGAATGAGCTGCTTGGTGCGGACTCCGGATGGGATTTTGGGCAGATCAACGAGGGTAAGGAGCGTGGACAGGGACACCGGCGTCGCAGCTCCGTCACAGAGGGTCTCCATAGTTCTGGTGCATAGCTGCAGATTCGGACACAGCACAGTCTCCTGAAGCGTCCAAAGGGAGGAAAACCAGCTAGACGGCTCCACGCTCGTCCCAGGCTTGACGAGTTCAGGTTGGGCGCTTGCCCTTTGGTGAGTCTCCTGGCGAATCTCATCGCTCACCTCTAGATCCGGGTGGTTGCAACTGTTCTGCAGGTACCGGAGCCCGATATAGTCGAGAGCAGCGGTTGTGACTTTCCACTCCTCGACATCATTCAGCCACGCCACACATGCTTTGGATCGTCTAAAGATGGCAGTCTGGTTGGCGACCTCGGCATGGTGCTCGGGGGAGTCATTCTGCGGTAGGCAAAAGAGGTCGAGCCAGATGTAGTCCTCTTTGAGGCCGAGAAGCATCTCTGGGACATCGAGGACGTCGTACAAGGTGTTCGCCTTGATCTCCCACGGCACGTTGGGGACACGCACAAGCTTCGGCGGCCGGCAAGTCCACCGCCCCCAGGTGTGGCTGACACACACGTAGTCAGGGCATTTCGTGAAGTCGCTCGTCCGAACCGTTTGCTTGGCCTTCACATCCCACAGATAACGCGGAGGGTCGGTGGCGACGTCCAACATCAATGTGTAAGCGTCGCGGGAGATGTCGCCCATCGGCGGCTCCTGGAAGAAGATGTTGTTTTTCCATCCGTCCATCTCTCGTACCGGCTGGACGTACGCTGGAAGAACCGAGTCGTTTTCGTTTGGAGGAGCTCTCGGAACAAGGGATCTGTAGGTTGCCCAGGAAAAGCGCATATGTATGGCGTGCCGCGCCGCGTCTCGTCTACACGCCATCAGGTTAAGAAGTTTGGGCCGGGGGATATGCGGCTCCCACTCCATGGCATGGAATTCGCGAAAGAAGAGCTCGAGACAGGCGGTATGGTAGTGGGAATGGCTCGTCCACTCGTGAAAAAAATCAGACGACGTCGGCGGTGTAATCGATGCCCTTGGACAAAGCTCCTCCACGGACGCAAGAAATGCATCGATGTCGCTCTTTGGCGAGTACCGAGAGTTCCACCAGTCGTCGAGGATGCCGAATGACGTTTTTTGGATTGGAGATAGCTTCGCACGGAACTTGGCAGAGGACCCGTAGAGTTCTCTGAAGCGATTCCAGTCACGCATGGCCATCTTCCACGAGTACAGCCTATCAACTTGGAGATCCTCCTTCGAGGTCTCCACGATGTAGAGATGAAGAGCGTAATATAGGGGGACCTTGCCGAAGATGCCGACCTGGTTTGGAGAGTATTCGCGGCGCAACTTGTCGTCTGCCCGCCTCCACTCCTCCAGAGGTTCCTGGAAGTCTAGCCGGTGGGCGCCAAGGGCCACTCTCCTCTCCTCGAATGCGTCGTACTCGGCCCAGGACTCGTTCCACATGTCATTGTACTGGTCGGAGAATTGGTAGCGGGACGCCAATTTGACGTAGAACTTGGGTGCCAGCAAGTTTGCCGCAAACCTGTCAAAGTCGTGGTAAAAATTGGCTTCTTCCGGGCTCGAGGCCCGCTGCACGGCTAACGTGGGGTCCATGTTGCGTGATGCGGATTTGCTTGCCCTCAACGATGGTTTCAATGCTCTGCGCTGGAGCTTGATTCGCGCGAGTAATTTGTTGTCAAGACTCCCTCACTCGTTGCCTGAATCTGGTTGCGTCATGCGAGCTGAAGCCTGGTCGGCTACGGCCTCACCGTCTCAGCCCCACAGCGCTTCAAGTCCGACTCCGAATCATGCCGGCCCGAGTCCAGTCCAGAGACAGCAGGTATCTCTGCAGAGGACAGGAACAGGCACACAATAAGCCGGCAAGGAGAATCGCCGTGGGCGCATGCGGAACCACCTGGTAGTCGATGCGTTGATTCGCCAGAGTGCGAGCAAAGGCCTGCCTGCATGATTGCTGACTGCAGGGGACGCCATGCCTTTTTCGATTCACGCTCTGATCATGGTGAGAACCCCCTGGAGCGCGACACGCGCCTCGGACCTTTACTTTTCATTGGGTGCCAAGCTGCTTTGTGAAGACTCGCTCCCGCTTCTCATGATCCTCAGCATATACCAACACACAGCACCACCATGTCCGACCCCGGTGGCGGCGACGTCTTTGGCGCCTTCAACGCCTTGCTCGGCTACCTGGGCGGGCAGGCCGCGACCACAACTATCTTTGACCGCTTCCTCTGGCCGCAACGCCATTTCTCGTCACTGAACCTCGAGAGCACCCCGCGTCTGGTCCTGCTCTACTCCATGGCCGGACCCCTCAGCCCCGCGGCCCTCGAGGTCATGGACACGGTCTACCGCTATGGGCTCTTGGGCGGTGCGGCCCAGGGCCACATGCTGGGCACGGCATTCTACCGAGACCTTGGCATGAGCTACACTATGCACGCCCGGGGTGCAGAGCTCGAGCGTGTGTCGCAGGTCCGCAACTGCATTTGGGTGCAGGCGCTTTTGAAGATGCCCATACCGGACCTGCAACGACCTCGGCAGGACAAGGCCGCTGAAGAGGGTCGGCCGTTGGAGCAGGCAGGTGGCACCGGAAAGCAACCTGTTCGGGCCAGGGTTACCGTCGACCACTTGGTACTTTCCAAAGCCACGGCGGCCGACATTGCCAACGGGGGGCTTCCTGTGGTGCGCGAGGGCATAGACAGCATCGGACTGGAGACGGTGTTGGCCATGTGCCTGGCCGAGCTCAGCGGCATCGGCGTCATGATAGGTGTAGCCGTCATCCTGCGCTCGCTGTGGGCCATCCTCTTCGTCATGCCGCTGGTGATGCGTATCCTGGGCGCCCTCCTCGCCGTGCATCGCGAGGGCCTCGACGACTTGTCGGAAGCGCCGGACGACGAAGCGCATCGCGACTGGGAGGTGCAGTGCCCGGCCACCGAAGGCAAGTTCATACTCATCTCGGGGCCCCCGAGCGTGGTGAACCAATTCTTCCGACACTACGGGCATCCGGTGCGCAGCCAGGCGTGCGAAAAGGCGCAGCTCGTCCTCATTGTCGCGTTCGGGACCTTGTTCCCCGCAAGCCTGTTGTGCCAGGTGCTGTGGATGCCACGAACGATCCAGTTGGTGTGGACTGTGTGGCAGATCTGGCTCGTCATCGCGATGCACCTGGACCGGTACTCACAAAAGGGCATGTGGCGGTCGACCGCGGATGCGAGCATCGGGAGGGCCTTCTCCCAGGCAAGGGCCGTCGACGTCGACAATAATTGCACCGAGACGTCGATTCTGTTTTGCCAGACACTCAACAAGCCGGGGGCTGTCAAGGCGACGCTGAATACGACGCTTGCGAGCAGCTACGGTGAGGGGAAGAAGTGCATGAAAAGTTTGGTACAGCGTTCCTCTGAGATACCTTGAGACCGGATCCGTGTACATGCACCATGCTCGTGTGGCGAAGTATAGCTGCCAAGGGTTACACGCCCCCAACTGCGCCGTTCTTTCCAGGTTAACCTCCCGTAATCTTGGTGCCGGGCGATATGAGATGTGTTGAAGAAGGGTGACGCTATGACGGTCAAGGTCATCAAGGAGCTGCGTGGCCACTTTAAGGAATTTTACGGGTTCTACTCGTCGTACGACTTCCCTTCGACTGGTGGTGCGCGGCGCAGTGGCCCGCTGCCGATGGCGTCATGGACCTACCAGCCGCTCGTCGAGGTGAAGCTCGCCAGCTGCGCTCCGACGGGACGGGCGGCCCCCGGACATGGACGCAAGACGTCATACGTACAGCAACAGCAAGGCGCGAAAGCAACGCGGATTGAATGAGCTGGCAGCAACACACCGCCTGAACAGGGCAATTCCAGAGCCTATGGCACGCCGCTCTTCGTCACCCCCCGTCGCCATCTACAGAATCGCGCAGATCGTCGCACTCTGGTTCAACCCGCGAGACGTTCGTGCCCGGCGGAGGTCTGCATGGCTGTGTAACACCTCCTCCCGCAAAAGGAGTCAGCCGTGGCCTGTTCGACTTCGAGTCTCGGTGGTATAAGCTGGACATACGATACGGGCCATGTCGTTCACGTCGGCAGTTATGCGTCGCGTGCCAGCCAACTCGAAACAATCTTATATCCCTGACATGGACCCGATGTGTTTTCGAGCTCCGACGTCACACCTCTAGTACTGAAGTTTGACGGTCGGCAGCGAAGCTTGCACGACTCGCAGCATGGACGCGGCCAGCCGGTTGCAGGTAGTCTGCGCCGCGGAGCGGTAGGCAGAGGCGACCTAGGTGTGGTGCACGAGAGCTTCAAATATTGATCGAGACCATTATGAGGAGAGAAATTGAACTTCCGTAGCAGAGCTCGATCGACGGTTCTCTCCGAGAGCCGTACCCTCCCCAATGTCCCAACATCCATCCTCAGCGGGTTTCCGCGAAGCGCCTTATGTCGCTACTGCCTCAAACCCCTTCCTCTCAAGTTGCATCACACTTGCAGTCTTTGTGCCGAGGCCTAAACAGTTGTCATGGGACCTTCCTTGAGGATCTGGGTAGCATTTCCGTTCAGCGGATTCTCCATCACACTCTTGCCTCTGACATACAGCTCGGCTAGCTGATCAGCGATTGAGCCCCTCCATTTTTCGAATTGCCAGCCACTTTCCTTTAGCGACGAAAGAGGTAGCAAATTGATGGATTTGAGCTCAGTACAGTCAAATTCGCCTCCCTGTAACTGGCGAAGTTCCAAATTGCAATCACCACGAGCACACCGCGCCGCGTATTTGTCTCGAAGAATGGTGAGTGTGGCCGACCAGGTTCCCTCGATCAGTTGGATGCTGCTTAGATCGATATATTCCATGTTCGGCCCTAGGTTATGACACAACTCTTCAAGATCGTGCTGGGTAAATGCCACGGCATTAAGTCGCAATTTCCTCAGGTGTGGCCATGTCACCGCACCGATGGCGGAACCTAAATCACAAAAGCGTACTACAGACGCAGAATCGGTGAAACGTAGGCGGCCTAGTCCAACACTGACTTCTCGAAGACTCTGACTGGAGAGCACAGCCGGCAGAAACTTCTGCAAAAGGGCTTTTGCCTCGCAAATGCGCTCGAGTTCAAGTTCTGATATATCGTCCTGCCATGGGTGCAAGTCGACAATTTCCAGCTCACTGCACGCAGTGTGGAAGTCTTCCCATGCTTTTTGCCACAGATCATCGCGAGGAGAGGAAAACAGCGCCGACTCTCGAAAATTCGGGAGACACCACGTTGCTAGGTGGCGTATTCTGACCCCGGCTTTGTGTATGGATGTTGGAACATCCAGTAAAAGGGTTGAAGGGAGCAGGTCCGCACCACCGTTTAGCTTCTGAGCTTCCGCCCATTCGTATGGAACTCCCATATATCGGCGTAGATTTTCAGGACTGGAAAAAATTACCGTAGGATCCGGGGCAAGTTTTGTCGGAAAATGGGGACCCGACTCGTCGTTGAAGTGCAAGCTGCGAAAATTAGGCATTTGCACCAGCGACGAAACCAGACCACTTGTGAACATCCCCGATGTTAACAGCCCAAGTTGCTCGTCGTGTAATTTCCGATAGTCATCATGACCTTTCAGAAGGCATTGTTGGTAGTCAAGCATCGTCTGCGACATCACGTTATCGTTTGCTGGGTCGAAATAAGCTTTCCACGCGTCGAGAATGTCGTCGTGTGCGCTCATCGCCCTCTCCAGCGTCTCGTCCGGTATGTTCAAATCACGTCTGTCAATCTCATCCAGTTCGTACCGGCACCTTACGCAACTGTCGTAAAAGTCGGCTAGTTCTTTCTCGCGATTGGATCTGAAACGCGGCAATTCCGCAGCGAGTTCGGAAGGGAAAGCATATAAATAGATCGTGATGCTGCGAATGCTTTTGGCGAGGTAGGGTTGCTTAGCAAGCCCGTGCAGCAAATTCAAGGAGACTCGGCTGACGTTTAGACCGATGTCAGCATATAGTAGCGGCGATGCGAGCTCGTTGAAAACATGACACACGAGGCGTATGTTCTGGATTGTCCGTAGGCGCTCCTGCTGGATTGGCCGGGTATCTTCGAAACCTTGCTGGGCGTAAACCTCTTTCCAATGCGGACAGAGCAAAAGCATGTCATCGCAGAACATCCGAAATGGATTGTCGAAATGGCTGAATATGTCGCATAATATTTCCGCTGGGAGGTCTAAAAGGTGTATTGGACCACACCTATTGACCAACGGTCCTTTGCCTTGATTCAAATCCATCACCTCCATGTCCGTCACTGTGTCCGATTCGTTGTCGGCTGCTGCAACATGACCGATGATGGGCGTCACTATACAGAGAGCTGAGATCCTGCTGAGACTCGGAGTTGCTGAGCACAGACGCCGCCAGGATACTTGTTCCGGATGACTCAACGCGTCGTTTGGAGTCCTTTGCTCAATGAAGGGTTTCCTTTGCACAGTGATGGCTTTGCCTGGGGTGGAAGGACAGGTTCTTGCGGCCTGGGCCGCAACCTTGAGATTGCAGCTTATACGCCAACATGATGGCCCACTTTCTTTGCAGTTCGGCGCAATAGATTGACCGCTGACAGTCCGAACGTCTATTTGTAAGCTGGCCTAGCCACCCCGCCGAGGCTGGCTGTTTCATATCCTGGACACGGGCACTGCTGAGACGAGCGCCGTTTGCCGGTCCACTTGGAGCAGAAATTACTGTGCTCAGGCAGCTCGGTTGTATCAAGGGGTGCGATCGGTTGCTCGGCTGGCTGCAATGGCGGGTTCCCTCGCTGTTCACTTCGCAGGAAATATGGAAAGCTGCCGTGTCCACTAGCTCACAAGCCATGTCCAATGGTGAGCTTCCTCAGGCAGTGGCGCCACGCTTTAGAGCGGGACACCATCGGAAAGGCCCCTTCTACTGTGCTGCAGACACGTACGAGCTTGTCATAGTGCGGATTAGCTCTACACTCTTTTGCTCGACCCTTCCCTCTCCTGTGCCGACACTTGTTTCAGCGACGCCTGCGCGACTTCGCGGCAGATGTACCCGCCATGGGGAGCAGGCTCCCAACCACCTCGAGCCAGCTTGGCCTACGCCGACAGAAATGATAAGATGCACCAGAGCGGCACCAACCGAGACTTCGGGTAGGGACACTCAAACTGGGAGCCAGTGGTTGGCACGGACAGGCGACCGCATGGGTTCACAAGCGGACCACTCGCGGACTCCCAGTAAAAGTGCGGGACCCGCCTTCGAACCTCGGTTAAAGCCAGCAGGTCTCACTCAGATAATTGAGGACAAGGTCTGTGTGGATGCCCCGTGCCTGACCCGAGCGACTTCGAATTGTTGGAGCTCATTCGGTCACCGAGCCTGGGCTCACTGTCCTGGGTGGTTGCGCTGGCGTGTCGCGGCCAGGAGTTGGCTTTTGGCAGTGTGGAAATGAATTTCACGAAGGCCAACGCATACAAAGCCCAAACTCCCGCCGCATTACAGAGACGGCACCGCGTTGTCGTTGGCCAAGGTCTTAAAGGTTATGATCCGAAAGGTTAATTATCCGCTGCAGTGAAAGGTCGGCCGCAACAGCAGAAGCAGCACAATAGCATGTTTCCGATGGAGACTTTTGTTCCCACAGGCTATTCTACGGCGTCGTCACGTCCCGCGACTCTGCGGCCCCAGGTAGATCGTCGCTTCCCTTGGTAGTCATCTAATTTTGACAAAACCGACTCCCATGCGTGAAATGCGTGGGCGCTCCGAGCAAGCATAACATCCGAGCCGACACGTCAGCCGACGAAGCCGTCCGCCATTCGCGAAGGCTCTCCCTGTGGCCTTCCCCGGCTTGCTGGACAGGCTTATTCATACCGGTGAACGCTCTATCCAACAAGCTTCTTGGCTAGAGCCGGCTTGAAGTGGTGGCGTTGTGGTCTTGTATTCATGCCGCTGCGCTTCTCGGTTCGGATGCGATGCAATACCACCCTGTAACCCTTCCAATATCAAGCCGCTCATTCACGTAGACCCTCAACAGCACAGCTGCCTACCCTCGGTGGCGATAGCTTCAGGTAACCTGGCTTCTGCAACCTCGGCCGCTCGGACGTAGCATTGTCTGCTCGACTGACTCACCGCCGCTCGCGACCTTCGGGCCAGACTGCCCTTCGACCACTTGGGACCATGCGATCTCAGCTACCTTTGCGGCTCGCCTCCGCTCCGACAACATCTGCAGCACCTGCTGCCCAGATAACACCGGTGCTTCCAGCCTGACGGCCGGCTTCACATCGCGGCATTTGGGCCTCGATACGCCCCCGACTCTGGCTTCCGCAGCCTACGACCTTTTTGGGCCTAAATGCTCCCCCCCTCCCCCCAACATTCTGCGCATCATCCTGATGCCCGACCGACCTCTGCGATAGCGGTTGCCCAGAGACAACTTTTCTTCCTCAGCAGCTTCGGCTGCCGCCCGTGCC